ATGACTCGTACCTTGAAACTAGGCCCCATCCTCTTGATTCTTCCCTTTGCGGGGTACGACGGATATATACTTTAGGGTTTAGTAGTATTAACAGATAGACCGATTAAGATGAGTAGATTAGTAACACGACGAACAATGTTATAGTCAACATCGAAAAATTACTCATGCTAAAGAGAGGACCAGATAACAGGCTGTGTATTAGAATCACTCCCGGCCAGCCATTCACAATGAGTCAAATGAGCATAGGTATATGTAAGAAACAAATGCAAATGGAAAACACTGTAAAGATGACGATACAAAAAAAATCAGTCAGCCATAAATGGCGAAACGTTATATTTAGGCGCATCATAATGCTCAATTTGTAGCGAACAAGAGTTGCTACACAAATGGCACATATCACTGGCTGATCCAAAACTCTCCATAGAATAATTAAGACATGTTATTGTGAATAGGTTCTCCAACCTCTTCTGATTAGCTTTTGTTTTGGAGGTCTTCTGACATAAACCTCTCATCCTCCGTTCCAGTTATTTGTTAATTCACACTTTGTTTTCAATTATGTTGAATGATTTTAAATGTGATAAAACTGGCCCACTCACATTTTGTTTTGTTGACCCCTTCCAGATGTAACAAGAATAAAGAGAACACCAGTGGTGACGAGTGGGATTGGTAGTGAGGCTTTCATCCTTTAGATTTAGCGTGATGGTTCATTTACTGCAATTTTATCTATTTTGTAAAACATGCATGAACGCACTTTTGATTATGCACATCACTACACTTTATGTGTTTACTATTGTATGAAACTTCTAGCTGCTTTGAAGTGATGTGATAATAATGAAATTTAATCCCAAGATAATTTTGTGTCCCCAAGTGGGGAGGTTAACAAGTAAAATATGTAGCAGCTTTGGATTTATTATTACTAAATGCTTTTGTTCAAATTCTTAAACATCATAAATATCTTGCTATGGCTTCGTCATTAAATTGACTTGTGACAACATCTCTCGATGGGGTCATATGATCAATTTAGTGTCGGCCAACACATCACGACCTTGTAGCTTGTGTTATTGGGATAACATGCTTATGCTAGTTAATCGTTAAATGCATGTATTATGTTGCATCATGAACTTAGTTTTCCATTTTCCTTCATTTTGTCCTAAATTCTGACTTGATCGTTGTAGGCGTACGCCGAAACCACCCCCGTCGCCTAGTTTCACAATCCTTTCTTTGTTTCTGTTCTTGTAGACACTTTCCAGCTTGAGGAATCAAGGTTCCGCTTGCGCAGACCTTGCTACAACAAGATGTACTCTAAAGAGTGGGAAATAAGCTTTTACCAAACTCGTCATTACCAAATTTGAATTTAAAATCTTTCACTTACAAATAAAAAGAAATACTAGTAATTAATGTTTTATTCTTTTAAACAAATAAAGGAATTAATTCAATGGATAGTTTAAGCATACATTTTAACAGAATATTAGATAATAAAACAAAATGATGACACGTCATCATCATCTATTTTCTTCAAGTGTAATGCTAGGTAGACCAAATTTGCAAACCAAATAATGTGTCACCAATAGAAATAAGCACGTTAATCAACACTTACGTAATAATTCAATTATCAACTTATATATCATTTAGTCTACAAAATTTGATCAACAAATTTAATCCCAGCATTACATTTTTTTCAATGTGGTTAGTCCATTGGTGAGGCTGCATAGGGCAATGGTTAGGTCCAAGATTCGAAACCCCCCCAATATAACCACACAAATAATGACATGTCGTTCTAGAAATGCCAAAATGCTGATGGGGGCAGAAGTAAAAGGACAAATGATTTTTTATGTTTTACCAACTCATCAGTTTGATCTTTATGAAAATAATGTTATTTATGAGTTTGAAATATAAAGGGCCAAATGAGTTGTAAAACGTAACACCAGTAACTAGTGCTTGCTACATAGATTAACTTGCGCTTAAAAAAAAAAGTTAATTTGCTTAATTTGGTAGCAAGTGGTCCAGTGGTAAAGACACATATTTTGGCTCTAAAAATTCAAAAAAAAAAAGGAAGGTTCCGGGTTCGAGACTCCAAGTTCGTGAGTCTGCTTGACTGTGGTCAGGAGGAGGCTGAAATACCTCTGAGTCTTCCGGCCCCCAAAAAGAATGGATAACTATGGCTTACCACTAATTATCTCATTTTTCTTTAAAAAAACATATATATAAATAAATAAATTCATGATTATGCGACTGGTACGTCAACCTTTTCTGTGTCCAAGATGGTGCATGGCAAAAACGTCCAAGTGGGATTACTGGGTGATAAGTGGGATTAATGGTTTTCCCGTTTCACTTGTTACCTTTTCCAAGTCAATCCACATCATCCCATGTATCTAACTCTTTAAGTAGTAACATGCACATTTGCTACCTCTTCCTCTTTTTCTTGATCAGAAAGTTTGATTAGAATTCAATATTTTCATGATCATTAGATGGTAGTGCATGCACTACTCGGACAATAGCAACATTCAAAGAAAGTGACTAATCAGGTTTCCATCATTTTTCTTAAATATAAACAAAAGTGAACTGCTAATCGTGACCACAAATAGGATACAATTCCTAACTACCCTCCTTGGGTCACGGAAGCGGTAGATAACCGTGGTTCGCTATGAGTTAATTTGTCACTTAGGTATTCATTATAGGTCAAACTATATTCTTTTTTTCAATTGTAAGAGGTTTTAAATTTTGGCTCTCTTGCATTACGTGTGCGAAACCAATTTACTGGATGAATGGATATTCATTGTAGGTCAAATATAAAAAATCTCAAGTCCATGTCGCATAGCACGTGTTATGCTTGGAATTGGATCCCATCCGGATCCATTTTGTAGGGATTCTCACATCTTAGTCTTTCATCCTGTATCGTACAGTCAGAAATCATTTGATTTTTTTAATTTAAAATTAAACACAAATATTATTTGACGAAAACTGACCGCACAATGTACGCTTCCTTTTCCGTTATGCTCAACTTAAGCTCTAATCTTAAAGAAATAAAATAAGACACGTTAATGTTTTTTGTTTTTCTTTCAAGCTGTTAAGTTAGAAAAAGATAGGGTTTAGGTTTTTTTTTTTTTTTTTTTTTCTTTTTTGGTCAAAGGGTTTAGGTTTTCTTTCAAGTTGGTAAGTTAAGATTTAGATCCAAAATTAAAAATTTTGTCACCTCTCCGTTATTTATTATCACGTGAGTCACACATATTAAGCTAAAATGGAACTTTGTTAATTGTTAGCACGTGGGGCTACAATGTGAGGCTAACATTATCTTTTAGTCTCACATGTGAGCCTTTATGTGCTAACAATTAATAGAGAATTGATGAATTTTCAAATTCGGGCCTAAATCCTAACAGACTTCATCACAACGGCTTAAATCCTAATTTTTTTGCCACAAGGATTATCCTCCAACTACCCTATCACTATAGAGACTTATAATCCAATTAAGTCTAATAAAAAAGATATTGGAGGTGGTGGAGAAGACTTGCTCACAGTAAAAGCCTTGCACATAGATATCTTATGTTCTTGCATGTAGGGGTGGGCACGAACCGGGCCGGGCCAAGTCCAAATTTAGAGGAACCGGACTGGACCTGTTAAAAAATGCAAATGGACAGCATGGACCACGTATATGAATTTTGAGATTTGAAACCGGATCTAACTCGACCTGTTTGAAACGGACTGATTCAGGCTGGGTTGGTCCACCGGTCCAATTACATTTTTTTTTCTTTTCAGAATAGATCACAAAGGGGTGAATACATCTTTCACAACCAACCACTAAAAAAAATACATGTTTCTTAAATTCCCATCTTTCCCTGCCAATATTAACAAATAAGAGCTTACAAAGATGAGTTCACATTCAAATCCAATTAGTATACATTCAAATCCATCAGTAACTTTTGAAAAAGCTCCTTCCACCTGCTGTGGAAATGTGTTTCCTAGGCGAGGTTTTCTTTTACCAACTTTAGTTTCATATAAGCACCCACCTTTTGCATAAAGAACTTCATCAAGAATTTGTTGACAGGAAGATAACGAAATTTGGAAATTTGGAAGTTAGGAATAGACGATGTCTTTTCAGATGCAGCTAATACAGTGACAGCAGCTGCAGCTGCAGCAACCATACCTGCACCAGCAGCTGAACCACCGGTGGTGAATCACTGAAGGTCTGGGGTGACCAAGGTGACTCAGTGATAGTCCAACAATAATGGTATGTACCACGATGTGATACCTTTTTTTTTTTTTTTTTTTTTTTTTTTTCTTTTTTCAATGTCTATTTTGTTGAGAATGAATCTCACGTTAATAGAAAAAAGGGACTTTACATGAGTTTATAGGTAAATTAGTCTACTCTTTATATTACCAATTGGTTTTATAGTGGAACATAACGTCGTAACCAGTGCAAAAACCATTTAGATCCTTATTTGCAAGATTTCACTATTGAACTTGATAACCTAAAACAAAAATCCGTTCGATCCTTACATGCAAGATTTAATTATTGATTTTCCGAATCACCCGGTATGAAACGACCGGTTTTAAAGACGAAAACTTGGGTAGAAGATGCGGAATACCTGTTACATGGTGCTCACTCTCAACCGAGCACCCACAGAATCCGATTAAAGCTAAAGGGAATATGTCTGCGGTAGCAATTCAAAGACCCAAAACAAGTGAAATTCTTTGTCTGGGATTCTTTCTTGCATAAAAACTAGGCCCCATCCTCTTGATTCTTCCCTTCGCGGGTACAACGGATTTATGCTTTACGGTATAGCAGTATTAACGGATACACAGATCAAGACGAGTAGATTAGTAACACGACGGACCAACAACGCTATAGCCACATCGAAAAACTACTCATGCTAAAGAGAGGACCAAACAACAGGCTGTGTATTAAAATCACTCCCAGCCACCCATTCACAATGAGTCAAATATGGGTATACGTAAGAAAGAAATGCAAAGGGAAAACACTGTAAACACAACGATGCAAAATTAACAGTCAGCCATGAATGGTGAAACTCTATATTTAGGCGCATCATAACGCTCAATTTGAAATGAACAAGAGTTGTTACAAAAGATGCACGTATCACAAGCTGACCTAAAACTATCCTTGGAATAATTAAGATATGCTACCATATGAACTCGATTCTAATATTTCCTCCCAAGATTGCAAAATTATATTTGATCAGATGACAGATTTACACAAACCTGATGTCTACGTTGTCAGCGATTTACAACAATCCTCTACGTGGGCAGGACCCTGTATGCTGTCCAATTTACGGGGCAACCCTTGTCTGACTCTACCGTAATCCACAAAAGAAACACAATTTTCTCCTGCAAAAAATATAACAATGCTAATTTCAGCCAAGGATAGTAAACACAGCCAACACAACAACAATTTCAGCCAAGGATGCAAGCTCACCAAGGGTGCCTAGCTAATTACAATTGCTTTTTCACTGTAATACCATCTCCGGTCTCCTTTTCATGTTCCTGCAGAGAAGGGGCTCCCAAGGGGAGGAAAACTAAAATATTAGAAAGTTAAAAAATGAAGAATTATTCCCTAATATTGGGAGACACGTAAAGTCGGAAGTCCCAAATCTGTGAACAAAGAAAACACATCAAATGTTTCTTTTTCTCACAGTACTGAATTTTCTAAAATTACCCCAAGTCAGGTTTAAAAGTGTAAGAAGTTTTTTTTAATTGATTGCAAAATTAAAATTTGTTTTACATAGAAACAGTTTGACTAGTGGCTCTTCGGCAACTAGGATGAAATTAAAATTTGTTTTTCTACACCGAAACAGTACTGTGCTTGGGACATCGAACAGAAAGTGCATGAATAACTTCAGAAAAAATTGTATAGTCTACATTAAATATCATGGCAAAATGGCTAGTGTGCTATGATTAGGAAAATTCAGAGCACCTTGTATAAAGCATCCCACCATAAATCTGACTTTTGCTGTAGAAGACACCATTCCATGGCCATGTCGTACTCAATTGTATTGGGCTGAGAACAGTGTGATGTTGATACTGCCTTTCTCTACAAAAGGAACAAGAAAGAATTCATTCATATGATTATTAGACAGGCATTGGCAAGCCCACTATACATTGTAGTTCATTAAAGTCTCCATCCAAAATCATCGATGCAAAAAATCAATCCAAAGACCATTAAAACATCTAATTGTGATAACATAAACAGATGAACATAGTGTATCCGACAAACATTGAAATTATCACCATTTACTTTCGATTTGGCTTATTGTTTGCAAGAATGATCCTTGAGTGGACCTAAAATATAGCCGACTTGGATCATTAAGCTACAGTGAAAGTGGGCCAGAATGTATCCATCATAGAGGATCCCGCAAGGGAAATACATTGGGGTTAAAGAGATTCTGATTTGACTGATATTTTTACAGAGATGAGTCCTAAAAGAAACCCTAAAATATGGCCATTTCGGATTGTCAAACTACATTACAGGTTGAGCCGCAACAATGTGTCCTTCTAATAACCCCATTTAAGGTATCCCTCAATGAAACGTGCATGTATCAGTAGTTGAGAGGCACCTCAAGTAGTGTTATTAGAAACAGTGTTTGCATCTTTTAACTTTGCAATGTAGTTCAATGATCCAAGATTTCCATCTTTTAAGTCTCCATGCAAAAAAATCAACTAAATTCATAACCATTAACTGTTTGAAATGGTGATAGTGTTGGATACTAAATAATGCCTATATTGTTTCCAGTATAGTTTATTTTTTATTTTTTATTTTTTATTTATATGCAAGAATAATAATTTAATGGAGACTTGGAAACAAACGATTCAAATTATCGAACTACATTGTCTCCGTCAACTACTGTTACTTGAGGGACAGGTTAGTCACCATTTCTTCACGCTGACTATGAAACCTGAGTTTGGGAATGCTCAGATGTCCAACAAATCTCGCTGCTTTGTCAGGCACTTTTAGAGTTCTTCTGATACCAATGACAGGTCTGCAAAATTGGTTGAGTTGAATCATTTCATAACTTGTACCAATTTAACAGTTGCCTTTGTAAATGATTTAAGAAACTAAAGCCCTAAGTCTTTACAAAGCAAAACGATAAAACATATCATTTACATTTAGTCATTTGAAATAACGAGTACGACGATTCTCTTATGTGGTATACAAAGGCATCATGGTGGTAACTAACTTGCATTTGACAACATAAAAAACATGACAAGCATCAAACATATGTGAATCACGGCAATGGGTGCATTTTAAAGATAATTCCAAGAGGAAGAAGTGATGTAGGACAGAAACATGATTGGAGAATTGGTAATGCATGTGTTAAAAGATTATTTGCTGTTGCCATATCCCGATAGTGGATGTTTTGTACTTTTCAGGCTGTTCGGATTGACATAACTTTGGTTGGCATGTTTGTTTTGGGTCCATGAAATATGGATTCGAAGAGAACGACAACATCCACAAGACTTCTTGTTTCACAAGCCTAGTCAGAAGTTGGCCAAATTCCAGCGTTTAATTTCCAAAAACTAGATTTTAATATTTGAGGATCTCTCTAATATTTTGTTATTTGTTTAATTCTTTTCTTATTTGATTTAGGTTAAGAACATTATAAATAGGTCATCTTGGCCTTAGGTTTGTAATCTTATTCATATTATCAATCAAATTGGAGTTTATTCTCTTTTTCTTCCTAGAGAATTCTAGGGTTTACTAGCCAAGGTAACATTCGAGCTTCCTTGTTATATCTGCTGCATCAAGGAGGAAACAAAAAAAAACGGAAAGAAATAATATCGAATGATTGACAGGTAGAGTGTTGTTGTGATAGTCATTCTTATCAACCATATTGATTTACAGTTTGTCATTTTCAAACAGAAATTATTTTAATAAATTTCACAGAATAATTACGTGGGATCTTGAACACTCCAACACACAGAAAGAGAGAGAGGTATGAACATGCTATTGTAAATATAGAAAGAGAGAAAATAGACTACCTCTTGTCCGCAACAAGGCATCCCTCCTTTAATTTATTTATTGCAGATTCAGCAGCAACACTCGACTTGAATATGACAAAGGCCTTGCCTGTACAACCATGATAGGATAAATGTAATTAGTCCAAAATTAAGCTTCAGCCTCAATAGCATTAAAGATCTACCACCAAATAAAGCATGCAATCATTTGAAAATAAGTATAGATCCCCAACAAGCTGTTATACCATAGTTTGGAGTAGGATGAATACTGTATTGTAACATTTTTGCCTCAACCTTTTCTCCAAATGCTTGCCAAACTAGACCCTGGGAAGAAAAAGGAATGTAGATTATACAGAATGTCTAACACTAGGTCCGACTACTCTGCCCCTGTAACTTATTTCTTTTACTTCGTCCATTACATTAGTCATTTCCCACCTAAGACAGTTCAGCAGCGCTTTTGGAATTGCTTCTAAGTTAAAATGTTTTAGTGCTCTGAGGAGCATGGTGCTCCTCCTCCAAGAAGTGTTTCCAATTGCATTTCCATGAAGCACTCAGTTTTTATTCATGTTGTCCTAAAAAAATCGCTTCACACAACAGTGCTTATGAGCAAAAGTGCTTCGTACGAAAGCACTCTCAAACAGGCCCCTAATTTGGTGCGGATGAAGCCTAGATCCTCTTGTGTGAGAATTTGGAAAAGATGACACAATGCATTTTATACTAAACTGGTTTTCTTTGACTGCCTTATCAACTTAATTTTATACATGGGAATATTACCTCTACTTCTGATGATGAATAAGACGGCTCAAGATTGTCAAGTAAGACCAATTGGCCTGCATCTTGAGCTATCTGCAGTCTTTCCTCCCAAGGCTGCAAATTTTAAAATGGATACGAATCTCATCAATATTAACATATCCCAAATAAACTTGAGACTTTTCTTTTTGCATTTCTTTTCAGTTCATTTTATTAACCTTTCATATAGAAGAAGGGTAATTTGGTATATGATAAGGGTTCAATTAACTTGGCATACATTGTTAAGAGACCCAGAGAAGAAGGAAGAGAAGTACGAAAGAGAGGGAGGCAGCCAGGTTCTGTTAACTGGACAAACTTTGTTGATTCATTCCCTAACTGCTTAAGTTTTTCCAAACATGGTATCAAAACTTTTGTTTTGGAGGTCTTCTGTCCTAAACCTCTCATCCTCTGTTCCAGTTATTTGTTAATTCTAAGCATATAAAATATCATATTTTTCTTTTGTCCGTCATACATGTTGTTGCATCTCATGTTAATTGGGTATTCATCAGAAAATAAATGGGCAACCATTTCTTTATTCAATATTCGTTGAATCCAGTGAGTTCTCATATCCAAGGCAATCCTAGACACCAAACAAGTGAGAATTTGATAAGATGAAATAATTTAAACATAAATGAAAATTTCGATATTTACCTTCCTTAACTATTATTGTTTTGTCTTGCATTGCAAGACAAATAGGAAGCCTTTTGACAAAACATTAACAACCATTCATTTGCATGAACAATCAAACAACAAATGGGAAAGTCTAGGAAAGATATTTCAAAATCGAAACTCACTAGTTGCTTGAACCACCTTGTTCTATCCTGCATTCAAGAAACTATATATGTCAGAATATTAACCAAATTCATAAACAAATATTGTGAACAGCTTGTGCGCATGCGTGTTTGGAAATCCAGCATACTATTGCACGTCCATAGATATCCAAGCTTGGGAGATTAAATAAAATTTCTAGATTTAACATGATAGAATTTGTCAGTTGCGGTATTCCCAAATGAATAAGATGTTACAATGTGAGCGAACAATTATATTATGCTCTAGCACTGTCCGGACTTCAATGGGAAGTTGCAATTGCATAAATTTGCATTCAGGATTATCAGATATAATGTTAGAATTAGAATATACAGCTCATCTAATTCTAGAGGACCATGATTTGATATACTGAAATGCAAGGCTTTGTTTCACGTGAGACTTCATATTCTCAAGAGAACCACTATATATTTCAGACAGCAGGCATGCATTTACAGTTGCATGTTTAAAACAACTGAATATAGGAAGCCATAAATGAAAACATAGTAAAATCAAAAGCATATATCAAATTGTATGTGTTTAAAACAAAATGAGTAGTTCCACAAAAAAAAAATCAGGAAAGAGAAGAAAAATAAAGCTGAAAACACTATACTTACAACATCTGCCTTCTTTCCAGAATTTTCCCCCTTAGTTGAATCTACACCAACTGGAGCTCTCATCTTCTTGGAAGGATGGGTATCAGATGCAGCCATAGGTGGTCGAGGTGGTTGATCTAAAAATATTGTTTTGCGTTTTTCTTTCTCTTGATTATGTGATATTCTAGCAGACTGAGTTGCAAATCCATCAAATTCAGGTTGAAGTCTTAATGTCTCATTTGAAGCATATGCCCACGCACCACTACGAACTGTTGGCACTTCCGATTCTGTAGGTGTCAGAAACAGTCGTATTTACATCTATCACTTAAATCGGAAAGTAACATACAGAGTTGGCATTCTCAGAAATAACCTCTCACTACAGGGTTTATTCTTCTGCTAGACTTGTCAATTTTAACCGGAGAGGGCATCAACTTGGCCGAACCTAACTTGGAAGACACCATTGACTGTCCAGCTGGATCTTTCAAATTTGTCTGGAACTTGGGAATCCTGAGGAGCTTTTCATTGTTTCTCTTGTTAAAATATCTCTCCACTGCATTGCAATCAAAATATTTGAAGACGGTGATAGATATTAATATGCGCTACGAAAGAAATCATATACGGATAACATTTATAATTATAGGGAGACACAAATACATAGTAAATATTAGACTATTCTAAATAGTGCCATGGGAATTTAAAACCAATAAACACATCCACAGTTTTAATTAAAAGAACTTTGATCTGAAATTTAAACGGATATTAAATGCACTCCAGGTCATTGGTGAATCACTTCAGCATTGTTAATGTCTGTTTAAATGTCAGTTTTCACCATATAGTTCCAAGACCTTGAGTGACATGTAGCTGCAATTTGACCAGGATATCTCACATCAGTTTGCTTTAAGCGATATCATATCAAGAAAGTAATAAATGTTTTGATTTCTTTTAGGATAAATCTCAATAGAATTTAGTTAGAAAATAAGTCTTAAAGCCATTATCTTTTTAACTTCATCGTTGATTACAACAGGTAATTAGTTCTTCATTCATATTCCCTTTTGAGGAGTTAATGAATTGTTATGCAACAAAGTTGCTCTTTTCCTCCCCACCTTCTCTCTTTCCTCCTGGTAGAGTTCTATTAGCTACAAGTAAGGGGAATTTGATTGTTTCTTAGAAGGGGGTACCAGTCCTTGAGAAATGACATCAAGTTTACAAACATTTATTTGTTATATCTGCAACAGTGTGCTCATTTCTTATGAGTTAAGTCTACATTAAAGATGCAAATGTATAGCACACCTACAAGTATGGAGTCATCTCTTTCAAATGCTACCTAAATTGGTAACAGGCTTTGAAAGTGACAGTAGCATTCTGAATATAAACATATTTCACTATTTTCCATAAACAAATTAGCTTGTAAAGAAGTGTTCTAAATCAAACCTACAGTATGGAAACTCTTGATGGTGGTTAGCTAATCCCATAACAATAGGACAAAACCGCTACATCCCAACAAAAGATAGAAACAATACACAATGAAATAACAGGATAAACATGTCTGATTACAATCTAACATCCTATTTGACTGACCTGTAAGTCCCCTTATTTCATCAGGAAAATTCTCCAATATTTCACACTTTCCAACATCAAATGTACGACAGAAGAAGTAATTAGCCGTTCTCAACTCTTCTTTAGAGGGCTGACGATTCCTGTCGTCCTTTGATGTGCAGACAACATTGCATTTTCCAGCAATTGCTTGCTGAAATGTGTATTTAAAAGGGTGTCATGCAAATATATTTTAATATAACATGAGGACACCCTTGTTAACTATTCTGTATACATGCAGAAACTAAAGAACCTTAAAATAGTTTCCATATAGCTTTTAATTGAGAAAACAAAGCCAATATTCTGATCTGAGAGGGGAAAGAAGCTGATAGGAAAGATTATAATATTTAGGCCACAGTTACATAAAAGAAATACATGCAGTTAAGGTTAGCAACTATTATATTTCACTAGTTAACCATAATAAAATAAAAAATAAAAAAAAAAAAAAACCTATTTCTTCCTATCCCTAACTTGCCTACCACAAACTCATAATATCTCATTTGCACTGTCCAATGTAGTCATTATGCATGAAAGGATCATCTAAACTTGCTGCCCACTATCATACCCTATAACACACTTTACCTGATCACTTTCATTACTAGCAATGCATGAATGCCATGTTATGTAATGATTATGCAACAACAACAACAACAAAGCCCTATCCCACCAAGTGGGGTCGGCTAACCCAAAGATTTTCATGCTAACTGATTACTCCTCTTTCCTATTAGTCCATTATTTTAACTTAAGAAACACAAATTCTAGTAATAAAGAAACGGATACATGTAATGTGCGAGATGGTTCATCTATTCCAGGTTAACATCCTCAAGCAAAAACACAGGTTAAATTCAAACAAGAATCAAGACGCATAATTATAACTGAAAGAATCAAGACTCGCAACAAAAATGGAATATCTAAGCAAACAGAAAAGATCATTGCTCTACCCCTCTTGCCTAACCATCCAATAGTACTCTGCTTAAATGTGAGATGTAAAAATCAACATGATTAGGAAAATATCTCTAATTAAATCTAAATTACCAGAGGATTGATATTGGAGAGGCCTTTACCCTCACCCGAACCTAAAAATAGCTCATTCCAGTGTGGTTCATAATCACCAAGGAAGTTGCATATCTCAGCAGGACGGAAAAACCAGAGGACCCTTACCTTCTTCTCATGGGTCTCTGTTTCAAATATTGACACCAGCTTACCAATATAGGTCTCAAGAGAACCAGCATGATAAAGATATACGCTGTCATAAAGGAAGTACTCAACACCTTCCATCGTGAACGACAAATAGAACTGGGAACCTCTGTTATTCCGATCTCCAGCTTTCTCACCCCACTTAAACTGAAGATTTTGTTCCATATTTGTCTCTTGACCATGTAAAAGGGAGCTGTTTAAAGAACACCGAAAGAAACGATTAACGCTGTTTATCTTTCAAGTGAGAACAGTTCAGTCAGATAAATATCATCATCATTAGAGCTCCAAAGCTTCAAAAACATGATTCTAGAAAGAGAAACAGCACTCCCCTGAGCACGCACCTACACGGAAATCTTGCACATTTGCTAGCTGCAACAAACCCTCTTAAAAAATTTCGACCCGAATATCAAAATGCAGCTCGCAAATCACTCAACACAAGTTTATCTTCAAACAAATTTCACATCCTCCTTGTGTGTAGCATAACTCAATGACTAATACATCAACAAATATCGCCATTACTCGAAAAGATTAGCAACAAGAATGTACATCAACGAAAATCACAGTTGAAAACCCATTTTCCCTTTAAATTTACGAAAACGAGTCACTTGACCCGCACAGAAAGTAGACATACATTTATTGAGTATAAACCCTACTTCATGAATAAAAATGGGAAAAAATTAACTCTGATGGGCCTAACACAATGCCCTAATATCTGAAAATTCTGAAATTTTCACCCAAGAAAATCACTACTAATTCACACTTAAATTTCAGATTAAAAAAATTTTAAAAAAAAAATTAAAGGAAAAGCAGAGAAAGTAAAGGAAGACAAAGAGACAAAGACCCATTTGGCATTTGGAGAAAAAGCAAACAAAAAGTCGGAAAACCCATTTGGGGAAAAAGCAAGCAGAGCAACAGCTTCTTCGAGCTCCCGACGAAGACTTGCAGCACACGGTTCCAGTGAGAAAATCGTACCTCAAATGTCGACGATCAAAGAACCGAAGAGCGAAACGCCGCGTTTTGGGGTTTAGGGCTTCGGAAAAGTACTTTCAGTGGAAAAAGAAAGTTTTAGAGAGAGATAGAGAGGGGATGCGAGAGAGAGAGAGAGAGGAGGTGGAGGTGGATGCGGCGAGGTTTATGACCAGTACGGAAGGAAAAGTACAGGATAATGCGCTGCCGGTGGAGGCTAACGTGCGCGGTAACGCAGAGGTAGGGGTGCGTAGTGTGCACCCAAGATTCGGTTACGTGAATTTCTTGCTTCGGACGTGGTTCTGTGAGTAGCAGCTGAGCAGAGTTGAGGGCGCGAAAGGAAAGGGAGGACAGGGAAGGGATCTCACGCGCCTCTTAGGCCTGGTTTGGTAAGAGGCCTGTTTGGTGTTGAGGTGGTTCTGAAAAAAGCTGAAATAAAAAAAAGCTAGGAGTTATTTTTGTATTTGGTAAACATTTAGCTTCAGCTTTTTTTTACAGTTTTGGGTGAAAAAAACCAAAAACAAGAAGCTGCAAAACCCAGCTTTGAAAAACCAGCTTTTTTCACATTTGTTTTATATAAAAGTTTACCAAACACTATAATACTGCTTTTTTTTTTTCAAAAGCACTTTTACAAAAAAGTTTACCAAACACTCTGCTTCTTTATTTCACAGCTGCTTATTCTCACAGCACAGCAAAAGCAGCTTTTTTTTCAAAGCACAGCAATACCAAACCAGCCCTTCTGTAAACACGAAAAATTCCTGAAACAAGAGACAATAATACGTGTACAAAATATATATTTTGTATTAATGATTTTGGGGTTACAATCTCTTTGTAATTTGATCCTCTGATTCTATCTTCGTAGGGTGTAGGTTTGTGGATGAGTTGTTGATCCAAAGGGCCGTCGGGGCTTGATCTAAGGATGAACAGTTGATGAACGATGAACACTTTCTTCAAGGGCCGTCGGGGCTTGATCTTGAGTTGGTGGAAGTTCTTCAAGGGCCGTTGGGGCTTGATCTTGAAGGTTGATGGATGAGCAGATCTTCAAGGGCTTTTGGGCTTAATCTTGAAGAACGATTGGATGTGTGGATTTGTTGAGGTTGTTGATCCAAATGGCCGTTGGGGCTTGATCTTAGGATGAACGGATGATGAACGATGAACACTTTCCTCAAGGGCCGTCGGGGCTTGATCTTGAGTTGGTGGAAGTTCTTCAAGGGCCGTTGGGGCTTGATCTTGAAGGAGGATTTGACGAAGAACGAAGAGTGCTTTCTTGATCCTTCGGGATTTGCTTGAGAGCTTTAGAGTTTCAAGGCTTGAAGGTTTTGGTGTAATGTAAATTACTCTTCCTTTCTCCCTTCCTTCCTTCCTTTCTTCCTCCTTTTTTTCTCCTCTTTTCTCCTCTTTTCTCCTCTCCCAAAATGAATGCATTGGCTTCCTATTTATAGAATTCCAAACTTGATTTTTGGATTTAAATAATCAGATGAAATAAATCATTTCTGCCAGGTATTGACACGTGTCCTATTTGATGACTTTTCCAATTTATTTCGATTTTTCGTTGAGTCACACGCTACATGTAAAATTTATGTGATACGTGAGCGTTGAAATTTTAATTATTGGTCAACATTCATTTCACCGAAATTTTGATGTCTACAAATGCCCCCACTTCAAGGCGCGTCGTAGACATGTGCTTGTCACGTGTAGAAGATGCATTTTGAAGTCCCTTAATGTAGATGTCAACCCAAGGGCCGTCGAGGCTTGATCTTGAGTTCGACTGGAAGATTTTCTGGTTTCCTCCAATCGTTGATTTTCCGCAGGCTTAATCTTGAACTGGACTGGAGGATTCTTTTGGTCTCCTCCGAAGGTCTGAACTTACTCCTTTTATCTGGAGTTGAATTTGATTCAAGGGTGGTGAACACTTGATTTTGAATCGGACTTGTGATTTCTTCAAGGGCCATCGAGGCTTGATCTTGAACTGGGCTAGAGGATTCTTTTGGTCTCCTCCGAAGGTCTGAACTTACTCCTTTTATCTGGAGTTGAATTTGATTCAAGGGTGGTGAACACTTGATTTTGAATCGGACTTGTGATTTCTTCAAGAGCCATCGAGGCTTGATCTTGAACTGGGCTGGAGGATTCTTTTGGTCTCCTCCTATCGTTGATTTTCCTTTGTGCTACTCTTGAACTGGGTAGCAGGATTTAGACACATGGCAGGTAAGCACGAGGTGAAGGTGATGACCTGTTTCTTTATTCAATCTTTCTAATTCGTACTGAAGAGTACGAAATAGAAAGATTGATTTTTCATTGTCACTCGTCTTTCTCCGAGCAGATGTGGTCCCTTCTCTGGAAGTGTATCAACCTTTGAAGATGACTACTCGAGAGCAACGCTAGGTAAGCAACCAGGGAATAGATTCCAGGTAGTCGGTTCCAGATCGGAAGACTGACTCCATGTGCCGGCTGATTGCTCACTTTACTTTGCCATGCGAGTAATAACAAGGACAAAGGAAAGGACAGGGAAAAAGCATGATATGAGATACCTTTGCTTTTGAAGAAGCAGCGAATGAATCATCACATATATTTGTTGTGCTTGTCTCCACATGCTTCGATGTATCATTTTCACTTGCCTTACTTGCTCCTTTTGCAGAAGTGGTATTTCCTTATGCAGGTTTGGCATCTTCTCTTGTAGTATTTGTTCCTGATGCAGGAGTTGAATGCAAACCTTGCATTTGAATGGACCATCACTTCTTGGTGGCAGCGCAAGTTTGAGTGGAGGTTCCGACATATTGCTTTCTCTGTCCTTGTCTTGGCAGGTGAGAACAAGGGCAAAGGAAAAGATAGGGGAAAAGCATGATATGAGATACCTTTGCTTTCGCCCTTGATGATATGAGATACTTTTGCCTTGGTGTCATTTGTTTGCAAGGGCATTCCCGGAGAGGAAGAAAACTGAGCATTTTGAGATGCTTTGCTGGGAGTGTACTCTCGGAGGTGAGGAAGAGTTGGGCATTTTTTTTTTGGTTTGCAGGTCTGCCTTGCCATAAAAGATGAAGGTCGACATATATAGGGATTTCCCAATAGCAAGTGGTGGTACTGTTCTTTTACCCTTGTCGACAAACGTTTTGATCCTGCAAATTTGGCTTTTTGAAATAGTGACGACTCTTCGATCTTTGAATACGCCTCTTTGATTTCTGAACGACGCCTCTTCGATTTCTGAACGAGCGCCTCTTTTGACAAAGCTGCACGCGTTTTCTGAAAAGCAGAGAAAGCGTCGCCGAACTTTGCGCTTGTCGGCTAAAGATGTGTAGCTGCGATGATGACCTCCACGTGATCTTTTGACAAAGTGGCACCCGTGCTCTGAAAAGCCGAGAAAGCGTCGCCAACCTCCACGTGTTTTCAACTTTGTCGGAGATCTTTTGACAAAGTTGAACGCGTTTTCTGAAAAGCCGAGAAAGCGTCGCCTAACTTACGCCGGAAAATCCAGCTTTTGAGATTTGCAGAGCGATGTCTCGTCACTTTTGAATAAGCGGCCCTTCGATTTCTGAACCAACGCCTCTTTGATTTTTGAGCAAGCGCCTCTTCGATTTTTGAGCAAGCGCCTCTTCCTTTTTATAGAGGTATTGATCACCTCTAGCATGCACACTTTGAAGGTTGCTCATTCCTGAAAATCATCTCCGGCCTTTTGAGTTTTAACTCCATCCACCCATCTCTTTTAACACCTTTGAAAAATGGCTAACCCATCGAACCTTAGCTTAGAATTGAGTCTCAGCAGTGATACGGGCGCGCCGCGTCAAGGTAACGTATGGCGCCCTTCTTTCTTATCTTCTAACGGTCCTCTTACAGGTGAAGACTCAGTGATGCAGGATGCAACAACAGCTACAATAGTATCTAGGAACCTCCTCACACCAAAAGATAGTAGGCTGCTTTCAGGACGGTCCGAAGAGTTGGCCGTTCAAGAGTCCCTCGCTCTCAGTGTTCAGTGTGCGAGCTCTGTGTCCAACATGGGCCAACGCCTGCTTGCTCGGTCTCGTCAAGTGGAATCATTGATGGCAGAGGTGGAAGATCTTAAGCAGGAGATTAAACAGCTTAAGCACGAGAATAGAAGTTTGCATGTGCTTGCAAATAACTATTCGACAGGCATGAAGAGGAAGCTTGATGAGATGCAAGAATCTCAAGGTCGAATTCAAAGTGACCGTCAAAGGCTTGCGTCTTTCTTCCAGAGACACCTTTTTCCTGCATCATCTAGCGTTCCACCAAGTATTGGGGCCTCGAATGATCTATCTTCGGTGCCTCCCGCTCCTGGAGTTTGGCCAAGTAGTGGGGCTTCACGTGAACAACCTTTGTGAAAGCTCCATCTTCTTCTTTTTTTTGTTTTTTTTTCACTTGTAATTTCTCGAAAATCAATGAACATGCTTTGTTTTATTTAGTGTATTGTGCTAAATACAAATAAAACATATATATTACCAAGATGTGTTATTTCCCTTTTTTTTTTTTTTATTCTTCTTTGAAAGATGCTTCCCAACATCATCATTTCATTTTACTTTATTTTATTATTTTTTATTATTTTATTTTATTTTATTTTTTGCTTTCGGTGGAGCTGATCCACCAAAGATTTTATTTTTTTTATTTTTTATTTTTTTTTACATGGTGCTGTCCACCAAGATTCCATCATTTTTTTTATATATGGTGATCTGCAAGGCTGAGTTTGTGGGTGAAAGCCCAGGCCGAGTCCGAGAGAAGACGGAGGAGATCTTTGGGTGTGAGTTGACAAACTTTGATTTTGTCAATCACATTCAAAGGCAGCAGCAGAGGCAAGCAGACGGATGAGATCTTTGGGTGTGAGTTGACAAACTTTGATTTTGTCAATCACATTCAAAGGCAGCAGCCATGGCGGAGGTGCAGAAGCAGCCAGATCTTGAGGCAGAGTGTAAGGCGTCGAGTTTGAAGACCAGCTAGTCGTTTGACAGCGGTCAATGAAGCTCTTCGTTAATTTTGATCATGGTGGCCAGAATGAGGATCTCAAGATCGAAAACCTCTGAAGTCCACTCCTCTTTGACTAGGGACTGAATCCATCTTGGGAGGTCAACTCCTTCCTCATTCAAGAGGGCATGCGTTGACATCAGGATACTGCGACGATGAGTGGTTACCCCAGATAATAACATTCTTAACATCAGAAACTTGAACATTCAATTTCTCAGAAACCTGGCCCAAGGCCCTGTTATGATCTAGTCTAGTCACACAGGTGATGTTTTTTTTTCTTCAGGAATTGATGGTGCAAATTCCTTCAAGATCAACGCATTGGTGTTTGCGGGATTAGCAACAACCAAAACCTTGCAGTTAGGAGCTGCATACTTTTCCAGTGCAGAAGCTTGGGACCTGTAGATG